AAGGAAATTGACTCCCTTTAGGATGAAAAGGATTCCCTTCAACTTGAGAAGAGCGTTTGGCAAACCGAGCGCGATTCGCTCAAGGATGAAAAAGCAGAACTCTAGCGCCTTCTGGTTGATGAGCAGTCCGCTCGGATGGCCTTTGAGAAGAGAGCCCTGGATGAGCATGATGCTCTGCTCAATACCATCAGCAAGTTGAATGGTGGCATGCTGGCTCTTTATGCTCGGTTTTCAAGGGTTGGGGCTCTCAGGTATGCTCAGGGGTACCGAGAGGGTTTCTCCAACCGTGTTTCTGCCACAAGCCAGACCAGTTCCACAGTGGACGAAGTTGATAAGGATCTAGAAATTGATCCTCCAAGAGTCTATGTTGACCCAGACTCCACTCCTGCTGAATGCATTTTTGATGAGTGTCAGGAGATTGCTTTCTCCAGGGTTACTTCAGCTCCCTCTGTCGTTCAGCCTCTGGATGTTCTTCCTCTGTCCACTATGGTCCCTTCCTCAATCACTACTGAGGTTGGGCCTCAACAGAACGACTAAGTTATTCATCTCGACTCCCCTCCTCATAAAGATGGGACGACCAATGAAAGTAAAGAGATGAGTCAACGCAATCAAGAGGCTGACAGAACAGAGGCAGCTAGCTAGGACTCTTCTGATACTTTAATTTCCTGCTTCTTTGTAGTTATGTCATCTGTATATTTTATCTTTCGTAACCTCAAAACATATCATGAATGAGATGACAAAAACATTGACTTTATTTGTGCATGGGTGGTAACAACCAGCTTCACATTTATCTATAGCAAGTGTTTGGCGTTCGGCTCATAGTGCCAGCTGCCACTTACTTTGCTTAAGTGCCTAGCGCTCGACTATAATGCCACTTGCCACTTGGCCTTTTATTTCTTAGCAAGTGTTTGACATTCGGTTCATAGTGCCAGTTGCCACTTACTTTGCATAAGTGCCTGGCGCTCGGCTAGAATGTCACTTGCCACTTGGCTTTTTATTTCTTAGCAAGTGTTTGGCGTTCGACTCATAGTGCCAGCTGTCACTTACTTTGCTTAAGTGTCTGGCGCTTGGCTGGAATGTCACTTGCCACTTGGCTTTTTATTTCTTAGCAAGTGTTTGGCGTTCGGCTCATAGTGCCAGCTGCCACTTACTTTGCTTAAGTGCCTAGCGCTTGGCTAGAATACCACTTGCCACTTGACTTTCTATTTTTTAGCAAGTGCTTGGCGTTCGGCTGATAATGTCAGCTGCCACTTACTTTGCTATTTTTACTTAATCAATCTCTTGAAGAGGAATATTACTTTTAGAAATCTCAGAAACTTGTACATTCGTCTGTCTTCAACTGAAAATGAACAAAATTCAAAATTGAAACTCAACTTTTTATTGATAATACCTCTTTAGAGACGTAGCATTCCAAGGCTTGTTAACCAGCATTCTGGCCATGGTCTCTTGGGTATATGCCCCCTTTCTTATGTCTTCTGCAATTCTGTATGGACCTTCCCATGGTGGCATCATCTTTTTGACTATCCCCACCTTCTTTTTCAAAACCAGATCACCAGGGACAAAGTTTCTATGTTTAACCCTTTTGTTGTGACTATTCGCCAGGGTCTGCTGGTAAGATGCGAGCCTTATTGCTGCAGTATCTCTATTTTCCTCCACCATATCAAGGTTCAACCTTAATATACTGTCGTTCTGACTTTGACTCCATGTTAAGCTTCTGATAGTTGGAACCAAGTGTTCAACCGGTATAACTGCCTCGGTACCATACGCCATTGCAAATGGACTCTCCCCGGTCGGCCGCCTCAGGGTGGTTCTATAAGCCCACAGGACGTTCGGGAGTTTATCCAACCACTTCCCTTTTTGGTCCTCCAGCTTCTTCTTGATGCAGGCGAAAATTGTTCTATTTGTAATCTCTGTTTGTCCATTGGCCTGGGGTGACTTACTGCTGCCAACTTTTGATTAATTCCATACTCCTCCAAGAACTCTCTTACTTGCTTGCTGTCGAGGTTCCTCCACCATATCAAAGTTCAACTTTAACATACTGTCGTTCTGACTTTGACTCCATGTTAAGCTTCTGATAGTTGGAACCAAATACTCAACCGGTATAACTGCCTCGGTACCATACGCCATTGCAAATGGACTCTCCCCGATCGGCTGCCTTGGGGTGGTTCTGTAAGCCCACAGGACGTTCGGGAGTTCGTCTAACCACTTCCCTTTTTGGTCCTCCAGCTTCTTCTTAATGCAGGCGAAAATTGTTCTATTTGTAATCTCTACTTGTCCATTGGCCTGGGGGTGACTTACTGCTGCCAACTTTTGATTAATTCCATACTCCTCTAACAACTCTCTTATTTACTTACTATCGAGGTTAGTCCCATTATCTATGACGATTGACTTCAGAGCGCCAAAACGGCAAATAATATGGCTCTAGATAAAACGGCTCACGTGAGTCTGAGTCACGCTCGGATATGGTTCTGCTTCTACCCACTTAGTAAAATAATCCGTGGCCAGCAGCACATACTTGTTCTGACTTCTCGCAGTTGGCAGAGGACCAACCACGTCCATCCCCCATTGTGTGAAAGGCCATGGTGTGGCCATTACGTGCAATTCCTCAGGTGGTTGGTGGATCAATGGCCCGTACCTTTGACATTTATCGCACCTTCTAGAGAACTCTTCTGCATCTCTTGACATGTTCGGCCAAACGTATCCCTGTGTCATTGCTTTGTGAGCTAAAGATCTTCCCTCGGAATGATTTCCACATACACCTTCATGAATAGCTCGCAATATCTGCCGAGCCTCTGTAGGGGTGACACACTTCAAGTACGGCCCAAAAAAAGATCTTCTGTACAGCTGGTTATGCACTATGGCATACTTTGTAGCACTCATTTTGATTTTCCTAGCTTCATCCCTTTGTTCGGGCAAAACACCATCTCGAATATAAGTGATGATTGGATCAACCCAACTCGACTCATATGGTATGACATTCACTTGCCAAGGGTCGGAGTCTGAAGGTTCTTTGAAGATGGATGGTTAGCTCAGTATTTCGATTGGAATCACCCTTGCCAATGTCTCCCTAGAGCTCGAAGCACTGCAAAACGATCTGCATCTTCGTTATATTCTCTCGGTAACTAGATGAATTTAATTTTCTCACAGCCTTTGGCCTCATGCAGAACGGCAGAACGATATGCTTCCATCGTTTTGTCCTTGGTTTCGTACTCATTATTTACCTACTGAACAATCAACTGTAAGTCACTAAAAGTAGTTAGGTTTCTGACCTTCAGCTCTTCGGCTAACTTTAATCCATTCAGCAACACCTCGTATTCTGCTTCATTATTAGTGGCTCGGAACTCAAGTTTGAGCGCTTGACTCAAAGATGTGCCCTCTGGCATTTGCAATTTGATCCCGATGCCTGCCCCCATCTGATTGGAGGAGCCATCTACATCAAGTTTCCATGAGCAACGTCTAAGGTCTTCTTCCGTATCTTCTGAATCACACTCCAGCAAAAAATCAGCTACTGCTTGTCCTTTGATAGCTGTTCTGGGCTCGTATGTTATGTCAAATGAGCTTAACTCTATGGCCCATTTCGTCATTCTCCCCGAGAGATCTGGCTTGTGCATGAGTACTCTGATTAGAAAAGTTGTCAGAATGACTATAGGATGGGACTCGAAATAATGCCTCAACTTTCTCTTTGCATTGATGAGTGAAAGTATCACTCGTTTGGCTTTCGAGTATCTTGGTTCAGCCTCGGTCATTGTTTTACTAACATAAAACACCGGGTATTGCACTCCTTCCTTACAATGAATCAGAATAGCACTCGTCGTAATACTGGATACCCCAAGATACAAAAATAACTTTTCTCCCAGATTCGGAGCTGACAAGACTGGTGGACTCTGCATATATTCCTTCAAATGAGTCCGTGCTTGTCGTTGTTCATCCCCCCAGACCTGTCTTCCATGACTCCGTATTGTGTCAAAAAATGGCTTGCAGCGATCTGACAACTTAGAGATGAATCGGCTTAATACAATTATTCGACCCGTGAGGGCTTGTACTTCTTTAATTGTCTTTGGTTCTGCATTTTTGGTCAGACCTTCTGCTTAAGCTGGGCTAGCTTCTATTCCTCTGTGATGAACTACATGTCCCAGGAATTGTTCAGAACTCACGCCAAATGAACACTTGGTTGGATTAAGCCTCATTCCATATCTTCTCAGCACATCAAACACGTCTTGAAGATGTTTCAGATGGTCAACTCTGCTCTTACTTTTCACCACCATGTCATCAATATAGGCTTCCACGGTCTTCCCTATTTGACCCTTGAAAATTTTGCTAATAAGCCTTTGATAAGTTGCTCCGGCGTTTTTCAGTCCGTAAGGCATAACTTTGTAGCAATAGGTCCCTCGCTCAGTAACAAAAGAGGTTTTCTCTTCGTCTGCAGGGTCCATGGGGATTTGATTATAACCTGAGTAAGCATCCAGGAAGGTTAAAAGCTCGTATCCTGTGGTGGCATCTACCATTTGATCAATCTTTGGCAGCGGGAAGCTATCCTTCGGACAGGCTTTGTTTAAATTGGTGAAGTCAATGCACACTTGCCACTTCCCATTCTTCTTCTGCACAACAACAACGTTTGACAACCAATCGGGATAGTGCACTTCTCTTATGAATCCCGCATCAAGTAGCCTATCAACCTCCTCGGCTTTGATCTGGTTACGCTCTGGCGCAAACCTTCGTTGCTTCTGTTTTACAGGTTTGACATTAGGATTGACGTTCAATGAATGACAGGATACCGAAGGACTAATTCCAGGCATGTCTAGGTGACTCCATGCAAATACATCGACATTGTGAGATAAGAAATCAATTAATTCCTGTTTCTCCCCCTCGGTAAGTCTTATTCCCACTCTGGTGGTTCGCTCTGGCTCAAACCGATCCATCTGCACATCAAGAAGGGGCTCTTCGGTCAAGTCCACAGGCTCCTCCTCCCCATTTTGCTTGGGTAGAGGTTCTTGTAATTGCTATCTTGAGCTCGCCGAACGGATGGGTGCCTTCCCTTTCCCAGCACATTTTATTGTGACGGAATAACACTCCTTAGCTGCAACCTGATCCCCATGAATATCAATCACCTTGTTTCCATTGGGTCCGAGGCATCTCATGACTTGGTGCAGAGTTAAGGGTATACCTTGGACTCTGTGAATCCAACCTCTACCCTTCAGGAGATTATACGAGGGGTGAATCTCAACAACGACAAAACTTTCTGTAAGAACTCTCTCTGCAGCTTGTACTTCCACTTCTACCATACCGATGGGCTCCACCCTCTTGCCATCAAATCCTAACAAGGGATTCCCAGTGGGCTTGAGCTTTTCCGGCTTGATCTCAAGCCGATCAAATGTGTCCCTCGACATGACATTCGCACTGCTTCTGGGATCAACCAGAACTCTTCGCACCAGGCATTCTGCCACTGTCAAACTAACCACCAACGGATCTTCATGAGGGATTGGAACATGTAGCAGATCCGTCCTGTCAAACTTTATCTGTGTTGATGCGCTCTGCTGGTGCAGGGCATTCACACTGCCGACCCTCTTCTTCATTTGTGCTTACCGGAGGCGCGTTCGGAGTAGCTCATCTGACTCCTCACTGGGTTCGGGCCGGCCATGAATTGCATTGATTATACGAACTGGCTGTGAGTTGTGGGAGCTCAGCTTCTGACTCCTCTTTACTTGCGCCACCGGTCGATTCTGCTCTACCACTGAGCCTTGGATATAATTCGCGAGTTCCCCTCTAGCTATCAACATTTCCACTTGCCTCCTCAAGTTCCTGCATTCATTAGTCTGGTGGCCAAAGTCAGAATGGAAAGCACAATGCTTAGTTTGATCCCTCTGTTCGAGGGGTTACCGAATTGGCAGGGGTGGATGAAACTTATCTTTGTTATCCTGATATAGCCTCGCCAGAGTGACCTTCAGCGGAGTGATCAACTCTTCCTCCCTAGGCTTCTTCTCTGCCTTCCAGGAAGTCTGACGTTGCGGCTGAGCCTGCTTTTACCTGATCTTTGCTTTAGATTTCTCTTCGGTTGATATGACAGATGTTGTCCGAGTGTTGGCTGCCTCTTCTTCCTCCAGGCGTACAAAACCATCAGCTCTTTCATGGAGTTCATCCATAGTCATTGGCGTGTTTACTACCAGACTCGTGTGGAACGGAGTGCCACGAGTCGTGGCTAACTTGAATGCCTGAACCGCCGTAGAAGGATGGCATTCAATCACCATGCTATTAGTAAGGTTAAACCTAGTAAGAAAAGCTTGGAGACGCTCGTCTTTATGCTGCTTCATCATGAATAGGCTCGAAATATCCTTCGGCGGACGCTTGTTCCCATAGTACTAGCTTAGGAACCGATCGCGCAAGTTTCGGAAGCTATTAATTGAGCCTCTCGGCAAGTTCTTGAACCAACTAAGCATTGGTCCAGCTAGACTTGTAAGAAAACACTTACACATTAAGGAATCGTTCTCCGTATTCAAAGCCATTTTCAACTGGATATGATACACATGATCGATCGAATCGGTTGTTCCGTCAAGTAGAATGAAAATTGGCATGGCAAACTTCCTTAGATGCGGAGCACTCAGAATTTCATCGGTAAATGGTGAGTCAACTGTCCGAGCCGCTGATCGGAGGGCTTCATTTTCCCTCTGGAGCCCTGCGGTAGCTCTATGAACTATAGATCTTCTTTCTGAGCCTCAATAATCGAACGTAGCCATGGAAGGCCGATAAGATGGATCGAATGATCGTTCCTCCATGAACTTTTTTCGCCAAGGCGATGCAGCTCTATGGCGACCAAACTCTATTGCTTCATCTCGGTTGAGCCTTTCCTGGCGTGGATCGAAGGTCGTGGCTTCGTTCCGTTTGATTTGTTCACACCATGGATCAACGTGAGTCGATCCTTCATGATCCTTGACTCGACGAGCATTTGGCGGCGAATCATCTGGCCTCACTCCCTCACGGTGGAGAACCGACTGATTATTCTCTTCCTGCTCACCTTGATGTGCAATATTAGATTGAATACCTCCTTCAACCGCCGAAAGTGGACGCAGAATCACCAGAATTTCTTGACGCTGTATTCCAGCTTTCAACTCTGCATTTTCTCTTCTGAGAGCTTCGATCATACTGATCAATTCCTCAAGTTTCGTCTGCTGGACAATCTCCATCGGATTGGAGCTTTCACCTATCATTATTCTTGAATGGAGTAAAAGCATTAATCTCAAGTTCTTGATTAGATCTGAGCTTCATGAATGCGAATTGCTTCAGATCTGGACTCAAATTCCCCGAATTATGCTCACGGTTCACTAGATCTGAATTTTGCTAATTCTGAACTTGTTAAATCTAACCGCAATCGAACAAACCGATGCTGCGTAGATCTGACACCATTCCCTTCAAAGTAACAGGAACCAAAAAAATTTCAGAGTAGAGCGCAATCTCTCGGATCTGGACTCAACTCCCAGAGATCGAGCTTCGTCCTCATGAATTGGTCTGAATTAATGCGATGTTGATCAAACACGGATCAATCTTCAACGATTCCCACAGATGGCGCCAATTGAAGATGCAAGAAATTCAATCACCTTTCTCTCTCTAGAATTATTACACTTCAATAGAATGAAAACTAAAAAACCTCATTTCTCTCTACTCATATTGTCTATTTATAGACCATTACAAATGCTCTAACTAACTTATTACATAGGGCTCTTATTCTTGGGCTTTCTTCCTTTTGGGCCTGACCTCATTATGTAAATCTCAGACGTTAGGCCTAACTTTCAGTGTTGCATTATGGACTGAGTTCAACTGTTCAGTCATTATCCTTCTTTCGTGGGTGTTGGGCTCATTATACTACCCTTTTTGTTTGGGCTCAGACCTACTACTCAACCTGATGTTCTACCCGCGGGTCGGGTCTGGTCCAGTCCATCTTTGATATCCTCATTGCCAGTTTACCCTTTTTGCTTTGTATGTCCGTTTTTCATTGTTTTGCCTTTTTCCTTTGTCCGGACTCTGAATCATGCGATTCTTAAGTCCATCATGATTAGTTTTTTATTGCCTTTCCAGCGGTGTACTCGATAGCACCTGAATCCATTTTTTTGAAAAATGACTTTTTTGCCCTGGGGGCTTATTTGTCATATTTTCAATCTTTTGCTTCCGCATCTGGATCCATTATCAGGTTAACTTTCAGTTCATCACTGACGCACCGGGTTGAAAAACTTAGGCCGTCACAATTTTACCTTTAGAGTTGTAATACTTAGTTAGGTTCAATATGCCATTTTTGCCTTATGATATGTAAAGTGTACTTAGATACACTATTTGGAACCTATTTGATGATATGTATGACATGAGGCCAAAGGCCACCAACCTTAAAGTTCAAGTGTATGCGTTTAAATTTTAAGTTTTGCCGTTGAAATGTAATTTTGCTAACCTTAGAGGTTTGATATGTGATTTGGAGTAAATGAAATGTAATGAGGCTGTGGCCCATTGTAGCGCGTCCAAAATGTTGATTTATGTTTGCGTGCATGCTTACATGAACACACAAATACACGGTTTTAAGTTTGACCATGCTATGGAGGATTCAAATGAGACTTAAAAACTCTTCTCATTTCTTGTGCATGGTAGGCCTTATTTTCACTTTTTCAACCTGTTTCGGTCAACCAGTGGCTTGTTTCGGTTGACCGGTTCCTTGTTCAATTCAATTGCGCAGTAAAACACACATTTCAGTAGCCAAAATCACTGTTCGTGTTCATTTCGGTCGACCGATGCCTTATTTCGGCCTACCGAAGTGACCTTCCCTCAAAAATCAGCTTTTTGGTAATTTTTTGTTCATTTCGGTTGACCGAAATGCCATTTTAGTCGACCTAAATAGCTTACACACACCAGCCTTTCAGATCTTGTAACAACATTGTTGTTTCGACTTCAAATGGTCATAACTTCTTTATTTCTAATCCAAATGGGGTGATTCTTGAGCCTAAATTCAAGGATTTTGAGTCAGCTTTCCAATGGTACCAATTTCATTCTCAAATTAAAATCATAGTGGGAGTTATTTATGTTTTAGTGAGATAGTGTTAGGTTTTGCTTGAACCGGGAATGGGAGTCTTGTGGGATTCAACCTCTTGGAATGTTGTGAAATGATTAGTTTAGGTTGTATAGACTTCATTTGACTTGCTTAGAGTCAAATCTCCCTTCTGATTTGTAAATTGACCATTTTGCCCATTAGTTAATGGATTTTACCCGTTTTGACCTTTGTTTCCGCTTTCGTTCTCTTTGAGTTTCATGACTTCATGGAAAGTCACTTGGGTATCTTAGGGATGATTGATATCTCTATAGACCTTATTTCTGGTTTCGCTTTCGTATTTTGGACTCATTACCGAGTCAACTTTCGGTTCATCACTGACGCATCGAGTTGCAAAACTAGGGCCATCACACTTATGGGTGATCCCATATTTAGACATTAGGCTAGCAAAGACTTTGTTGTAGAAATGTGAACCATTATCACTGATTATGGCTCGAGGTGTACCGAAGCGAGACAAAATCATGTCTTTAAGAATTTCACCACAACCCTATGGTCTGATGTCTTGGTGGCTAAGGCTTCTACCCATTTGGACATATAATCAACTGCCAGAAGGAAGTAGGTATACTCAGATGAAGAGATAAAGGGTCCCATGAAGTCAACACCCCAAACATCAAATATTTCAACCACAAGTATGGATTGTTGGGGCCATTCATTCCTTTTGGTAGTCTTACCTAAGAGTTGGCATCTAGGACATGCTAGACAGTAGGTATCGGTGTCCTTAAAAAGGATGGGCCAATAAAAGCCGGATTGTAAGATTTTCGCCAGCGGTCCGTTTAGAGCTAAAATGGCCACCATAGGCTTGGTCATAATAGAATGAAATGATGGATTCTTGGTCTACCTCAGGGACACACTTACAAATGATTTGAACTTGACAATACTTAAACATATAGGGGTCATTCCAAAAATATTCCTTAACCTTAGCTAGGAATTTATCTCTCTCTTGCTTGGACTAAGTAGAAGGGGTTTGACTTGTGACAATGTAATTGACAATATCGGCATACCACGGTGCTGGAGATACCGCAAAAAGTTACTCATCAGAGAAATAATCAGAGATGAGAGATTACCAGTTAAGGACCATCAAACTAACAACGGAGTAGTTCCCAGGAAAGAGTGGAGAGGCTCTTGGCCTGCTTAATGACGGTTCGTCCACATACCGTTTATTAATTTGATAATTACTCACTGGAGTTACTAACAACTCCGTTTTTCCAGAGGGCTATGAGCTCGTAACCCTAGAAATGGCTGATGTCCAAATGAATTTTAATGAAATTCAGCTCAGGGTTTGACAAATGCTCGAATTTGATGATTTGTGGGCCACGGAAATGGGTGATGAAATCCTGACCGTATCTTGTTAGGGTTCTGCCCTTAAGTAGCTTATGTAAATGCTAATTAAAATATGCACAGGCAAAACAACAAATAAAAAGAAAAGGGAGTGGAGTGTGTGAATTTTCTTCCTCTTTTTATTTTATTATTTTTTTAAGATAAAATAAAAAAATA